AACACACAAATATGATGCTCATGACATATTTTAGTAGATGATTAACGATGTAACATTGAGGGTGTTACATGGTCGCTCGTGCGCGGTGGCAGCTCGCTCCAGTGCGCCCCGTTGCCCCGTATCGCCGCTTAGGATAGGCGTTAGGGTCGTAGATGGGGTTCGGCTCGTTAGTTGGGTCGGTGTGAGCCTCAAGTGGCCGGCGTACCGCCTAGTGCCACCACCCACCGCGCCGGCGAGCGCGGGGCGTCTCGAGGACCTCTCCGGTGCGAAGGTGAAAAGATCCGAGGGTTCCGTTGTAAAGTCGTTGTCTATAGAAATAGTATGTGTAGTGTTCGTGCTATTGTCTGATAACGCGAGGGCGTTTCTGCAAAAGTGCCAGCGTGCACGGGCTCTCTGCCGCGGGCCACCTCCGCGCGTGGGCCGTGTCCCGCGTGGGCCGCGATAGGCCGAAATCGGTTTATTTTTTTGGAAAATAGAAATAGCTTTTCATTTTAATTCTGAGCTGAACTTTGGTAATTAATATAAAATAATATAGATATCCAAAAATTATAAAACTAATTTTGTTAGGTTCCTAAAAATATTGTCGACCTGTTAGTATAGTTAGTTCATACATATCTGTGTGGTTGCTAAGGAGCATTAAAATAGTTGAGATGCTTAATATTATTTCGATTAATAATTGTAGGAATTTTTGTGGCAAAATGGTGATAGCTTTAGCTTTGAAAATATTACAGTAGCTTCATTGTATTATTATGTGCTCCCTGTAATTTTTGTAGCCCTAGAATAGGCTAAGCACTAGGGTAGTTAGGTGCTCCTTGTTGTAATATAAGTTAAATTGCTAATAAGAGTAAGACTACATTTTAGTTGCTAAGTTAGTACTTGTTAGATGAATCCATACCTGTTTGGTGGAAATGATAGGTAGTTAGTATTTTAGCCATTAGAGCTAGCTTAGTAGATGTATTCTTAGTTAAGAGTTGTTGTTGCTAAAATACTAAGTGTTGCATCATCATTGCATGCATGTAGAGAACGCGTTGGTGGAGTTCGTGACCGCCGAAGAGTAGGAGTACGAGGTGGTGATCGAGGAGTACGAGGAGAAGTTCTTAATATAGGAGGAAGCCTCGGAACCATCGACGACTGACATAGCTGAGTTATAATAATCACTGTATATATATGAGATGTGCATCTATGTTACAGAAGTTATATTGGAACTACATGCATAGATACTTTTACCTATGAGTCCTACTAGTATAGGTCGAGTAGCTGCTATGCTTAGGATCTTCGGTAGCATAAGTAACATGTCGTTACTCACATTAGGTGATTATTATTATTACTCTCTTAATAAAATGGTGAAAAAGGAAAATGGAGACCGAACAGGGATATGGTATGAGTATTGGTGGGTGTAATAGGTTATGTCCCGCAACCAACGGGGTATGTCTTGGTTACACTGTTTCCCTGTTCGTATCGGTTAAGGACCGTTCGTTGCTGTGGGCGATAGTCAGGTCACAGACTTATTATCCTGAGCACATACTTGCTTATGGGAGTGGGAAGACTCGTTGCTCTCTTGTCATGGGTTCTGGCTCTTTCTGGACCGACTAATTGGAGGCGGGGATGGTGGAGGTCTAAGCACCGCACTGAGTCCGAAACTTAGGTGTGGGGACTTGGAGTCTAAGTTTGGACGGGGACCTGGACCCCTTTGACAGGAGAGGGGTGGGTTGGTCTTGCTTGTGCCTGGGGTATAAGCGGGGCCTGTGTTTCGGGGTACCCAGCTAGGATACATTGGTTCGTGAATCGCAATGTGATATGGTACGACTTGACTATGGTTTAGCACCGTAGTAAGAACTAAAAGATGAAAGATGATGAATGGATCTGATTGCTCAACTCTTGCTTAAAAGTAGAACATGTGCTTACATAGAATGGTTAGTTAATAAACTAATCATAACTGCTAATAAAATACTTATATAAGGATTCACTACTAAAATGCTTTTTCGCAAACGAAAGAAACCCAACAAATCATAAAGCCTATCATATCCTTTGGAATCGAGAAATTATTTCCACTAGTCGGATAAGTCTTGCGAGTACATTGTGTACTCAGGGTTTATTTACCCCTGTTGCAGGTGCAGCTTGAGGAGTGGCTTTATGTGGAGGATTATTCTGGTGGGCACAGATGGATCCTTGTATCTTATCGTTAGATGTTTATTTAAATTCCGCTATTTAAATTCCGCACTCTGAACTTGGCATTGTAATAATTTATTTCTATGGACTACTGTTATATGAAATAGACTAAGTATTGTAAACTCGTTCTGATTATTGGATCCTGGCTGTAAAACATGGATGGTTCGAGTTCTCTATTGGGGTGTGCTCGAGGGAACCGCTAGAAGTAACCCACTTTCGGGGTGCTTAGTGTGTAGTGGAAGACAAGCGCCTCCGAAAGTGTGTTATTTCGGACGATTCTGCCACATGAATAGCCTAATTAAAAATTCTACAAAGTACTAAAGGAAAGTGTTAGACATAATTAAGGCGATAAGCAATTTTACTCTAGCTCTATAAGAGTGCTAGGCAAGCCACTTGCCGATTCTAGTTGCTATGATTTCTAAATGTATATCACACAATCTACTAGGCTATGTCTTCCAATTCTACCAATAGTGAACTAGGAAGATGAACAACTAATTACAACTAGTTACTTCTCTATTTAACTAGCAAGACAAACAAGCACTACTACTAACACAAGTGAAACAATGAAAGTAATGCAAGGGTGATAGTGAGGTATTCCGAACCGGGCAAGAGATAAATCAATTAATTACGAATACCAAGATGACACCAAAATTTATCTCGTGGTTCGGTTGCTTACCGGCAACTTAGTCCACATTGTGATGACACTCATTTGGTGGCTCACACGCTAATAGGCATCACACGCCTAGTCCTACACAAGGGCACCGTAAGAGCCAACACAACGTGTGAGTGCCACGACATAGAATTTAAACATAATGTGTGACGGTATTGGAAGAACGCATTTGGTCAACACTAGTCATCATGTCACAAAGGTTAAGCACGTAGAGTTGATAAGATACTGTCCAAGGGTTATTATAATTGAAATTGTGAATGAGAGAACTCACCGGAGTGGGTAAGAGCCTGCAACAATTGTGATCATTATAAGTGTTTTCTCAATGAGAAGATAAATTTATTGGACGCACAAACAAAGGTTGTGTTTTGGTTTTTTTGAGCAACACAAAGGTTGTGTTTTGGTATGGTATATGGATGACACGACCATGGGCAGCCTGACCTTCGCGTCGCGGACCGAGGTTGCACCGTTCGCAGGTTTCGCACGAGATGCTTCACAGCCCTGGTGGAACTTCGCGGACTGAACACCATTCGTGGGCCATCGCGCTTTGCAGGCCTAAATTTGCGGGCCCATCACGCTTTACAGACTGCGGAGGCATTGCTATTTGGTGAGATCGATTAAAAAATCTAGCAAATTTTATCATATTTCATACTAGGATGAACTGTTTCAGTTTTGACAGGCCGCCGGTGAGGAGAGACTACTAGCTGCACAATGCGATTGTTCAGCAATGTAGCAATGTATGTAACTACTAACTACATAATATTTCTGTGAAAATTCTGTCTCGGAAAATTGAATGGAGACTGAATGACGAAAACCGTCACATTTTATTTTTTTATTATTCATGTTGTTGGACAAGGACTTGGAGTGCCAGATCAGCCACCGGCCGAGGTGCGTGGCTAATTTGGACCGGGATGGTCCACTAAAATAGATTAGGTAGCCCAAACTGTAGTTTGTTAATTCGGGGACCGGGTCATATTCTATTGGAGAAGGAAAAAGCATAGGCGTCCAGGGCCAGGCATACTAGGTGTCCTGGGCCAGGCTCACTGGGCCTCAAGTATGGTAGTGGGCCTATGAGCGCGTTGCCTACCGTATTCTTTTTGTTTTGTAGGAGAAAGAAAAAGCATAGGTGTCCCGGGCCAGGCTCACTGGGCCTCGTGTACTAACCATATGGTAGTGGGCCTCTGAGCGCGTCCTCCGTCTATCGCGCGCCTCCTGCCAAGAGCCAACAAATGTTGATGAGGCTCCCAAGTCCCAAGCCATCCTATACTAGGATTTAGGATTTTTGTTATTTTTATTATTTAACTTTGTCTAAATTACTTTTTCAAGAATGATTCAGCGTAAAAAGTATGGCAAATGTAGTTTAAAATTAAAAAAATTCTAGATACTATTGGTTTCTTACCAGCGCTCTCCTTGAAACCTCAGTAAAGGCCCCAAACAATAATTATTCAAAAATATATTATTTGGGTTCTGCTTGTTTGTACAGATGATTATCATGACAATTGTCTACACAATGGGGGAAAAACTATGGCTTGTACTGTATTTCGAATACAAATAATAATTCTGCCAACGAGACAACGGCAGCAATTTAGCTTGTCAACAAGTTAAGAGCCCCTCAAGAAAAGTATTTCTCAAAATTTTGCTATCACCGATCCCTTCCTCGTCACCAAAACAACGCATCTGCTGAGGTTGAATGGACGGTGTTTAAATTCAGGAAGTAAAGTTTAGATATGTTACATCGGGTGTTATATGGGGTGTCGTATGGCGTGTTCGGATACTAATAAAAAAACAAATTACAGAATCCGACAATAATCCGTGAGACGAATTTATTAAACCTAATTAACCCGTCATTACCACATATTTACTGTAGCATCACACTGTCAAATCGTGGACTAATTAGGCTTAAAAAATTTGTCTCGTAAATTAGTCGCAATCTGTGCAATTAGTTATTTTTTTAGTCTATATTTAATACTCTATGCATGTGTCCTAGCATCCGATGCGATAGAGAGTAAACTTTTGGGAGAGGAACTAGACAAGCCTAAATAAAACACCAAAAAGCCCGTTCCATGTCTCCAGGTTTGATGAACCTTACAACTAGGATTTGATCCATTGTGCCAAATTAAATATCCAGAGACCAGCCCCCTCTTCTGTAGAACCCTTGGCTATCTCATTTCCTAGAACTAAAAATCCCAAAGTTTTTAGGCGAGTCAGTATTTCCAGGCTTACTAGTACCATCCGACTTCCTCTGCTCAGATGATCCAGATTTCTGAGTACTACTGAAGATCCCAAAACTCTTGCTTGCTCGATTAGGATCACCACCACCTGCTGGTTGCCTTTGGTTGTTATTCAGTGGAAAAGGACCTCTCCTTTCGTTCCTTGGATCTTGTGGCAATCCACCTTGGTTGAACCTTGGTAGTGGTCGGTTATGCTGCGGTTCCAGAGGTCTCTGGTTGTCATAACGGCCTCCGTTTTCATTCCTTCTATCATCTTGAGGGGGTCTTCCTTGGTTGAAACCTCGGTTGTTGTCTCCTCTTATTGGCTGCCTCCGAGCAGCGTATCTGTTGGTTTCAACAGGACCCTGATCTTGCACATTACTCTCTCGCTTTTCCATGCCAGGTACATCCTTGTAGCCAAGTCCGCGTTCAGTTGCCTGTGGTCCCCACTGGCCAGGATTAATTCTGTTTCCCCCAGCCCCTGGGTTGGGTTTTGACCTATTGAACCCCCTTTTAAATTCTCTATCCTGCCCCTCTTTTGGGCAGCAAAGTCTCAGAGAGATGGGTGGCTGTTTTCTGAACACGATCTGAGATGGTACGATCATCAGGTTTTCCTAAACCATCTCCAACTGTCTTGTCTTCGCTATTGCTACCATCAACAGGTGACTCGGAGACAGCACTGCGGGTACCTTTTCCTGATTCTTCCATGGCCTGGCTAGCTTTCTTCCCACCTTTCTTTGTTGCAAACTTCACATGCCTGACAATAACATATGCATGCTTCGAGTCCAAGTGCGGCCCACTTTCAACAATGCACACATCTTGTATCTGTTCAATTGATGGGAATTACTGAAAGAAGTGAGCTTTTACTGACAGCAGCCTTGAACATGTTACCATGATCTTAACTAATCTCAAAATGGAATTGATGGCATTTGGTTAATGAGAAACAGGGAGTCAATAAGGGGCAGAGTACTCACAAGTCCTAACAACCGAGATAGTGGTGTTCCTAAATCTTCTCCTTCATTACCTGAGGGCATGGCCATGCACTGTCAAACAGGAAAGACATTTTGATTTTCAGAGTTCGATTTGAAAAATTAGGATAAAAATATCATATGATTACAAATAAAAATTGCAGATATGTTGAACAAGACAGCTGAGAATTTAGTTGGCTAAATCCAAAACACCCAGTCCAACTGGGAAATGGATATAGACATGGCCATTCAGAGCATCAGAAAAATGTCGCCCACATCAGGTATATAAGGTCACCAATTGCACTCCATTAAGAAAGAGTCTGTGTAAGAGCTGAAGTGGGAGGTCGTAGGTTCGAATCTCCACAGCTGCAACTTTTTATTCACGCGCCTGAACCTTGATTGCTTCTGTTGGGTTTCAACTCTAGCCTACCCCAACTTGTTTGGGACTTAAAAGCTTTGTTGTTGTTGTTGTTGTTGTGTTGTTGTAAGAAAGAGTCTAAAGGGCGTACCCAGTGCAGAGAGCTCCCGCTCTGTGCGGGGTCTGGGGAAGGGTGTTAGTGGCAAGCCTTACCCTCACCTGTGCAATGCGAGGAGACCGCGACTCGAACCCGGGACCTTCCGGTCACAGGCGGTAAGACTCTACCGCTTGCACCAGGCCCGCCCTTCTTGTTGTAAGAAAGAGTCTGTGTAGCCCTAATCCTACTCTGATGATAATGAATAGATTCTGCATTACATTAGGAATACCAGATCCCACCCTCACCCACACAAAATGGATAAAAAAAAGGAAACAACTAAAGCTATACAAAAGAATGGACATAAAACCCGAGGCTGAACCAAGCAAGACATAACAAATTATGCTATACTTGATGACAGATTCACATAAATTCCCCTCTTTATTATCACTTTATAATATTTAGTTTCCTTGTTTTTACGTGCATAAATTTGTTTGGGGTTGTCCAGCAAACATCATGAAACAACTGTTAACAACCAAAAGCAAAAGTTTTTCCTTTGGTGTTGTTGGATGTGAGGTCTATTGTTCTGGAATCAAAGGCCAATTATATGAATCACAGTGAGCGAAAAAAGAATAGATGATGACACAAACAACTAAAACAGAGCACAAAGATTTCCCTTTAGTTTCCCAGGATATAAGGTCTATTGCTCTGGTGTCAGAAGTTAATTATTTGAATCCAAGGGGAAAGGAAACAAGAGGTCATAAAGATGATACAATTGCTTAGAAATTCAAAAGAACCCAAAGGTTTTCCTTTGATATAAGGTGTATTGATCTGATACTAAAAAAACAGAAATTCATTGGGTTGTCAATGGGTATTTGCATAATTGAAAGGAAGACAAGCTCACCTTCACCCTGTAACCTCGCTCCATTAATCTGGTAATCCCATCTGCTTTCACCATCAAATCTTTTAGTTCCTGCAGAGAAAAGCTAATGTTTATCAATAAAGATTCATGCAAGGTCTTCATAATGATCACAATGCATCTAACTGGTGGAAGTTTTCAAAAGTTACTGTTTAAAAATTTGCCTCAGAAAAGTGGGACAAGTTCAACTAGGCATTAGGTATATAGATCTGAAAAACAGAACATAAGCTTGCAGCAGTTTGGACAAGCCAATACTCCAGTTACGAGGTGCTAATAAAGTCTGCATGTGACTCTATATCAAAACCTGATAAACTGTTATTGCCAACGAGATAGGTTGCAATCACCTAAATAATAGAAAAAGAAAATTACTCACAGTTTTCCCTTTAAATCGCACTTCTTTGTTCTCCCCTCCACGCAAGACGATAGCAGACTGCAAAAATCAGGCACAGATCCAAAGTTTAAAAACAAGCAGAATAGGTCTACAATATGATATGAGCCATGCAAAATTACAGACACCTATGGTAGGAGATAATATAGTTAACACTCTTTTGCATAGATCCAAGCTTGAATGATTGCTAATTAGGAGGCCCAAATACTGCAGAAATTAGATATGGCTGACTAAAATAGAGAGCCCAAAATATCTGGTTGGTTTAGCTCAACAACCAGAAAGGTACCTCACTAGTGATTACACCCAGTACAGAACAACTTGTACATATCCTATTGACATGAACAAGTATGTGAACGGTGATCCATCTAAGCAGATGCCTTTCATGAAAATTCTGAACCTATCCTATTGCTTGTAAAGATCCTATTGGTACAAGGGTGAAACCTACAAGAGTCAAGCTACCTGTAGGATTTAAACAGATACAATGAACTGTTTGGTCACAGCTAGACAAATAAAATGGAGTGTAGGGTTTGATGAGAATACAATTGTATTTGTTACACAACTTCTATGCCTATACGATTGAAAGTGCTGTTGTACTGATGTACGATTCTAATACCTATGGCTGAAAAAAGAAAGATAAAGTTGTGTGCAAGTATAAAATACCTTGGTTTTCAAGCGTTCTTTCTCCTTGGTTTCTTTCTTATACTTCTCTTTGTGAAAATCCATGATTTTGCATACAGGAGGGTCTGATTTTCTGTCGACCTGCACAAGAAGGTAACCTTGAGCACGAAGATGAAGTATAATCAGAATAAATTAGCAAGCTTGTTAAGCTTCAAGGCTGACAACAGCAGCACATTCAGAGAAAATACAAGGAAAGAGGTGTTGCTAGAATGCCCTTCATCTGATATCCATCAACCATCAACATCTCATATCGCATCAAAAGGCAAAGAGAGAAAAGAAAACCTCCATGAAGGCTAACAAACCAAAAGGCATGCGTTCAATTTAGCTTTGTTACAAGTAAACTTTTTTTTTATTTCTTTTATGATACATCAGCAGCACATGCTTACTATGTGAAGGGGGCACTCATAAGTGACACGGCGTCCATGTCTGTAATGTCACAATGTCTAGGATTTGGTACTACTAAGCAATATCAATTGGCTGCAGCTGCAGGGATCAAATTACTCCAACAGTGTTATAAGAATACGGGGCTTGGAGTTGGGGAAAAGAAGGAACAGGTGATGAGCAAGCAAAACGATCGCACCACGCATGAATCCAAGAGAAACATATATGGAAGACAGTGTACCTCAACCAAGTCCATGTCCATCCTGCTCGCAAGCTGGAGGGCTTCATGCCGGGGGACAACGTTGTGGCTTTCATCCGTGACAAGCCTGACGAAGGGAGCGGTGATGGCGTTGTTCATGCGGTGGCCTTCGTCCTCCTCCTTGCCTCGCTTCCTGTTGACCTTCAAAACCGAGACGGGACGGAACAGATCATCACAAGGCCGCCCACAATCTCTGTGCTCGCTCGCAGCGAGGTTACGAGTGATGGGGGAAATGAATGGAGGCAGCAGCAGCAGCGAAGAGGGGTGCCTACCTGAGTACCTGGCGGAGCGGCGAAGTGCCGGCAGTGCGGGGCGAGCGGGCGGCGTATGGGAGTGGGAGCGGGGGCGGCGAGGGCCAGTGGGGGAGGAGGATGGGGACGGTGTCGGCGGAGGTAGGCGGCGGCGGCGGCGCGGAGCGCGAGGGATCCGGCGCTGCGCCGGAGAGCCATCCTTTTCCCTTGCCTTGTGTCGCCGGGACCGGGAGGGGTGCGGGAGGCTGGGCTGCCGGAGCCGGAGCTGGAGGCGGAGGCGGCGGCGGCTGGCTGTGCCTGGCTCGGCGTTTGCTCTGCTCTCTCTCCTCGTGGGGCTGGGCTGGGCCGAACGTGTCCGCCTGACGATCTCTGCAAATATTGGGCTTTGGCCCATATACTACGGGTCGCAGATCTGAGCTTGCGCGCGATACGGGCCGAGCGGAGAGAAACGTGGGATTGGTCTACGGAAGTGCGGAGGGCTAAGAATCAATTCGGCCTGACCCAGAAAGGCTAGGATGACGCATATGGGCCATAAATAAGGAAAAAGTCAACGTTACCTCTACTTTTGCGAATGTATGTTTTTCCTCCATGAACTCTAAAACCGGATAAACCACCTCCCTAAACTTTTAAAACATTCGTTTTACCTCCCTAACCAGTTATAAGCGGTTTTTAAAGGCGGTTTTGTCTTTTTCTTTTTTATTTATTTTGGTTCAATCTTTGAAAAATCATAGTAAATCATAGAAAAATCATAAAATAGAAAATCTAATTTTATTGGACTCCACATGAGTAGATCTACACAATGAACATATAATATGGTATGCTTTAGTATATTTTGTTTGTTGTAGCTTTAGATCTATGTTTTTTCTGTAATTAATTCATATCTGCAGTTTCTATGTTCCAATTGTGGTGAAATTTTTATGGTGCGCTAATCATTGTATGCTTGAACTGCAGTAAAAATTTCATACTCATTGGATCAGGCATAACTTAGTTATAGATTTATTTTTAACAAGCATACACCTAAATAAATCTATAACTAAGTTATGCATGATCCAATGAGTATGAAATTTTTACTACAGTTTATGCATATAATAATTAGCGCACCATAAAAATTTCACCATAAATGGGCCATAGAAACTATAGCTATAAATTAATTATAGAAAAGCATAGATTTAAAGTTATAATAATTATAGAAAAGTTGAGGAAGGTAATGTGGATTTTTTCTCATAAATAAATACCAGATGTGCAACTTGGTTTGAAGCATGTACACGTGGGCCAAAAATGTGAGACAAATTGTAGAGCATTCATTTTTGTTTTTTCCCTTGTGTTGGCAGGACAGGTCCAGTGTGCGGGGAGGCTGGGCTGCCGGAGCCGGAGATGGAGACCCTTGCTCTGCTTTCTCCTCGTGGGGCTGAGCTGGGCTAGCTAGGCCTGTCCCCCGCACGATCTCTGCAAACGTTGGGTGGGCTTCGGCCCATAAACCCGCTGCTCGGCCGATCTGGTTGCGTTCATCTCAGGAAATTGATGAAGTACTCTAGCTGAATTTAGAAGACTTGCTTCCATAGAAAATTTCAGTACACTCGTCGTTCGGAGACATCTCCCATGAACAAGAGCAAATTGCTCACGGCTTTTTGTGACGGATCACGGATTGATCAAGAACACTGAAAGACAATCACCCAGCTGCTTCCATACAACATTAACAAATTTGTATGACCTCTTTGCAATTGTACGTTCTATCTAGCGAGAGGAAACATAATACAGGGAAGCAAAATGTATGTACTAGTTAGTTCTAAACTCGAAAGCAGCTCAAGAACATATATATATATATATATATATATATATATATCATAAGAGGCAAACTGTTTTGTCATCACAGATGTACAAATTGGGCATTCGGATTTATCGATGCGTCCCTATGCAGCGTTAATTAGCTTCACGATCTGCAGAAGTTAGATTTCTCCTGGAGATTTTACTAGTCAGCTTCCTTCTTATGTGTTTCATGGCTACTCAAAATTTACCGCTGCCCTCTAATCCTATGAAATGTTAATTTCATCTGGGTGCCACCACTACTGGAGACGGCCTCTTTGCCGAGGGCCTGAGGCCCTCGGCAAAGGCCCATTAACCCTCGGCAAAGGCTTTGCCGAGGGCGGCCCTCGGCAAAGAACTCTCGAGGAATTTTGAGTCGGCGAAGAGGGTCTTTACCGAGGGCTCTTTATCGGGCACTTTCGGCAAAGCCTTTGCCGAGGGTCGGAGCGGCACTCGGCAAAAAAAAAGCAAATCACGACACCGGGCGCTGGGGACGGAGTCTTTGCCGAGGGCCGTCTCCGGGGGCCCTCGGCAAAGAATTATTCTTTTTTTTGAAAAATCTTTGCCGAGGGCCTCCAACCATGGCCCTCGGCAAAGAAATGTTGCAGAATTTTTCCAAAAAATCTTTGCCGAGGGCAATGGGACGGCCCTCGGCAAAGAATTATTTTATTTTTTTTGAAAAATCTTTGCCGAGGGCTGGCCCTCGGAAAGAAATTTTAATTTTTTTTAAAAAAAATCTTTGCCGAGGGCCTCCAACCATGGCCCTCGGCAAAGAAATGTTCCAGAATTTTTCCAATGAATCTTTGCCGAGGGCAATGGGACGGCCCTCGGCAAAGGACCCTTCTTTGCCGAGGGCCATGGTCATTGCCCTCGGCAAAGAGGCAGAAATTTAATTTTTTTTTGTTTTTTGCATTCCATCGACACAAGCATTTCATATATATACATATATATATATATCAACCATCACATATATATATATATATCACACAGAACATATTTTCTCACAATATATCACAACCATAATTGTGAACCACAAATCACAATATATTACAACGACAAGTCACATGTTATCATCATTCACATGTTTATTACGACAAGTTCATGAAATCCAAACACAAGTCAGAATCATAAACCACAAATATTACAACACTCCACAGCAACCTTCACAAACAGCAGATGAAAGGTCATAGGTCCTCTTTAGGTGATGTGATGCAATTAACCTGCAAGAACAATTTCAAATTAGACAATGGCACTGTATTCTTTCAGCAGTATGTAACACACACATGACTACACAAATATATGTACCAAATCTTTTATTCGTATTGGAATGTTTCCGCAATAAACTTGCAAGGACATGCCAATTAGCAAAGGCCTACATCAAGGAAAAATCCAAGATATATTCATGTACACCACTGCCAATTATGGGGGTCACCACCCTAGAATCCCGACGCGGCCACACGGGTGGGGGCGAGCGGCCATCACCAAAAATTCACTCCGTAGTCTTTGTTTATCTAACTAAAAAGCCTTCATGTATGAAAAAACAAATAAGATTTCTTTTTCGTAGGCATAGGTCACTAAAAATTAAGCCGAAGAGCACAGCTGCAACAACATATCCACAACATTCCTTCCACCATGGTGGCAAGCCTAAAAGGTCAGGTGATATCTGCGAGGTGAATTAGGCTCGTATAGGATCTATATTTATATAAGGAAAAAGTTGGCATGAATTCAGTGCTGCAGCATAACGTCTACGCCATTAAATTACAAAAGTCAGATGATATGTCCAATTTTGTAAGTGCATTAGGATGTGAACACATGGAAATGGTGGGTAGATTATAAAAAATAACAGTTGGTACCTAGAAATTTCTTTCCCAATTGAAAAGTATATACTGCTCCTTGTGGCTGCTGGGTTATATACTCATATGTAATCATTAATCAAGATGCATCTGATTAGCCTGACTAATAAGAAAAAATAGGAGTTACTATAGGTTTACCTTTGAAACAGGTGGCAAAAGAATTCCACTGATAAGGAAGTTTCTAATCTGTGTTCCAATCACCCACGAACCACACCTTGCAGGCCTGTCTGAAATACATTAGCAGAATAACAAAAATTTAGTAATTAAATAACATCATTGGCATAATTGGGCGGCACTCCATGTAGGGAACTATCAACGTCAGGACTACATTATAAGCAGTTGTACATGTGTATGGACAAAACATAGCTTCCTGTGAGGTAAGCAACATATCAGTCTCACGTCTCCTGCTGGGCTCAGGAGTAGGAACGGTATGGGGAATGGTAGCTCTGATTAGGAAAAGAAAATAATGAGGCACAGAGCACGAATGCACTATGAAAGAGAGAGAAGAAAATGGAAACAAACTATTTTGTTTCTAGTAAGTAATAGAGACACTTTGGGTTTGGTAGCGCATATATCATGGATAGCATTTTAAAGTTGCCCCACCTAAACCATAGCAGCGTTGAAGCTGACTACAAATATGTAGAGGAAAAGGAACAGGCTAATGTTACTACTGAAACCTGAAATGTCTTTGTTTTGCTACGAAGCCTTCTCAAAACTGGATATATGGATCTGGGAGGTATCATTACAGCAATGGACGGTGTACCAAAAATTAGATGGTGTAACAAAGAGAAGGGCAACTGTAAAGCCTACCAAACTTCCCTGCAAGCTCTGGTGCTGAACATCATAAGGGAATCACATTGTTGGTACCATACTTCCCTGCAAGCATATTAGGAACCGTTGCTGTAAATTGGAGTGTATGGAGCAAAAAAGGGAGTTTTGTAATTAACAATGTGCCGTTACTCGCAAAAAAGGGAGGGAAAAGCTACACATAACATCAATCTGAAATTAGATTGGGCGACAGCAAGCGAGAATGCGAGGAAACACAAAGCAGGAGCAACTAAAGGCTATTGCTGCACAATAGAAGCATGCACAAATGAGGACTTAAAGGCAAAGCAAGATATACCTACAAAAGGGAGAAACCTGAACTGGTGGCCCCATCTGTGAGGGTACAGCAGCAACACACTGAAATCTGAGGGCGGGGAGGATGGTGAAGATGGCAATGAAGTTTTGACATGCTCACAATTGCAGATTCTACCTACTTGCCCAACAGCTAAAAAGCCAAATGAAAAATATCAGACTTACTTTTTAAAAAAAGGGGCGTACCCGGTCTGAGAGAGCTCCCGCTCTGTGCGGGAATGCAGGGAAGGGTGTCGATGGTAAGCCTTACCCTCGCATGTGCAATCTTGAGGAGACCATGACTCGAACCCGGGACCTTCCGGTCAAAAGTAAAGACCCTACCGCTTGCACCAGACCCGCCCTTCATCGGACTTACTTTTTAAGATAGAACAAATTAATTTATGCCACTATAACAGTAATTAAGAA